CTGTGGCCAACTTGTGGGTCAGCTGGGGGCTGGCTGGTCTCGGGTGGCCTTTGCTGGAAAAGCTCACCTGTGCCCTGTGTAGTCTCCTACTGTCCAATAGGCCAGGCTGGGCTCATTCATGGGGTCGCTGAGCAGACAGGGAGCAGAATTGCACGAGGCCTCCTGAGGTCCGGGCTCAGAATTGGCACATTGGTGCTTTTACTGCCTTCTCTTGATAAAAGAAATCACAAGGACAGCCAGGTTCAGTGGGTGGGGAAATAGATTCCACCTCTTAAGAGGAGGATTAAGTTTGCTGATATTGTGTTAAAACCTTTTGCACGTATGAACATGAGAAATATTGGTCTGTATTTTTCCTGTCCTGGAATATCTTGCCTGGTTTGGGGATCAGGGTAATGCAGGCCTCACAGAATGTGTTGGGAGATATTCCCCCATCTTCGATTTGCTGGAAGAGTACATGTAGGGCTGATATTGTCCTTCCTAAATGTTTGGCAGATTTCATTGGCGATGCCGTCTGGGCCTGGAGGTTTCTCTTTGGGAAGCGACTCCAGAGCCTTGATAAATATTTCTTCCTGCTTTTATTGCGAAACTGGAAGGGAGAGTCTGGCTCTATTTCTTGACTTCTTAGTGCTTTAGCCCCTTAAAATCTGGCTCCTTCCTTCCTTCGTCCAGCGCATCTATTGAGCACCATCTAAAAACTAGGCACCGTTCTAAGTGCTGAGAATACCGACCTGCAGAAACACGCCACAGGGGAGGTAGTTACCGCCCAAGTGAACAACTGTAATGTTAATATTGGCCCGTTAGAGGTGCTGCTTCGAGAAAAATAAAAAGGGCTTTAGTTTATGTCACTAAAATTGTTATTACCAAGTTTGCCAATGAGCTAATTTTCCATCCTGATGCCTTTTTTTTCTACTCTGTCCTCTCTTGGCTTTGGGGTCACACCGTCCCCTCCTCTCTCCCAGCCCTTTCTCCCTGGGCGGTATTTCATAGTTACTAGTGGCTTCCTCTCCCATGCACACACCGCATGACATGGGGATTTCTGTTCCCGGCTCCTGTTTTCTCCAGGGTGACAGTGCCGCCCCTATTTCCAGCTGCTCGGATGCATTGCCACCTCTGGGAACCAGACGTCTCTAACACCGCATGAACTGCCTCCCTCATCCTTCAAGTGTGCGCCTCCTGCTCCAAGCCATGCACATTAGTGGAACCGACACCCACTGTGGGCCCCCAGAATCCTTTGTCCGGCCCCCCGCCCATCACCAGGTCCCATCGATTCTGCTTTCAGGGAGTCTCTGTCTCTCCCTTCTATCCTTTTCCCAATTTTTATCTTCATCTGGACCCTCTCTGTTTCTCACCAGGGATGCTCTGACAGCTTCCCCCAGCTCGCCGCCTTCTCATCCCTCCTGACAGTGGAGAGTTTTTCTTCTAGAGGCAGATCTTACTCCTTTCCCGCTTCGGAGCCTCCCCCATCTCCCTGCTGCCTCCAGGAGAACACCCAAACTTCCAAGCCCCATCAAGCTTCTCAGCCGGCACGGAGTTCTGGCTCAGCTCCAGGCCCTGCTCAGCTCACACCCTGCTCACACTTGTCATGCTTCTGTGCCTCGGAGCGTCCCTCTCCCTCTGCCTGCAACATCCTGTCCCCATGGCTCTGCCTGGCAAACCGCCCATCCGCTGCTACCCGGCCTGGATGTCACTTCCTCCGTGCAGCCTCTGACGCTGCCCACACCCCAGCATGGGGCTCATCACACCTTCCTTTGCGTTCTCACAGCACACATGTCATCAGGTCATGTTTATTTATTTATACGCCCTGTTCTTTCCATACCTGACAGCTCCCCAGGGGACTGGAGCTTGCCTTACTCACCCATGTGTCACCGGGGCCTGGTACATGGGGGCCTAAACGAATGCTCATTGCCTGAATAACCACTTCCTTTTATTTATTTTTGTAATGGAGGCACTAGGGATAGAACCCAGGACCTTGTGCATGCTGAGCACATGCTCTACCACTGAGCTATTACCCACCCCCTCATAATTGCTTCATTTGAAAACAATGAGTGAGAGCTAGTAAGCTGAAAGCTGGGGTTTGCTAACTGGGTGATGTGGACAAATCTGTCACTTTGACTTCTCGCCTGCAGAGTGAGTCCTAGTCTTTGCCCATCCTTACAACAGGGCGGTTCCCTCACTGACAGGTGTTCACCCTGCATGCAGTGAGGGGAGGTGCTTTCCACTTGGAGGACTTGTGGGTGACTTTGTGCTCTTCCCCTGTCCCCAGTGTGCTTCCCAAAGTGTGTCCCACTTTATGGGTCCCAGACTAATGACATATAGCGATGGCCAGCATCCAAATCCACACATGGCCCCAGGACTTTGAACCGATCTCCTGATCAGGTCATGAGATAACAGGATCACAAAAGGGAAAAGAAATTCAGATTTAATGTGGGCAATGTGGTGGTTTCTCTGATGCCAGATGGTCTGAGTTCAAAATCCCAGCTCTAGCCTTTACTAGCTGTGTGATCTTAGGGAATTTGCTTAACCTCTCTGAGTCTCATTTTCTTTATTTATAAAATGAGGCTAATTATAACACCTACATCATAGTGTTTTTGTAAGGAATGAATAAATTAATACATGTAATGAGCTTAGAACAGTGCCTGGCACATTCCAGGCAATAAGTGCTGGCTATCATCATTGTGGGTGTAATGGCTGTTATTATTCCTATGGCCTGAAAGGCTCAGGCCTGCACAGGCAGAATCACCCTCAGCAGCTTCTGCCCTGGAGCACTGCCCAATCCCAGAGTCCTGCCTGTTGCCATTTCTGGACAGAGCCAAGCACTGGCTTTGTGCCCAGAAGCCCCAGCCACAGCGAGCGCGAAGCTGGGCCGCCCAAGGCGAAGGGGCTTCCGCCAGCCCCAGGGCATCTTGGACGCCTGGCCATTCCGGGCTGGCTGGTGTCCAGATACTAGGGCAGGAGGCTGAGCTGACCTCTGCTTTCCTGAAAACAGGCCACAGCCACTGTCCCCTCTGAGTGCTGTGGGCGGTGAGGGGGGTGGTGGTGCTGGGTTCCAGCCAGCCTGGGGGAGAACCACCAGCTCCAGAGTGGGCCTTGGATTCCCGCGTGGCCTGAGTGACGGCTTACCAGTTGGCCTCCCCCAGGGCTCCGTGCCCAGAGCCTCCCTGGCCCCCTGAGCCGGACCTCTGGGTGGAGCACTCCCGGGTGGGGGGATCCAGCCCCAGCTTCCGGACGCCAAACATCTCAGGCCTGTTTTGGAAGGCTCCACACCTCACGATTGTCCTTTTGCTTACAATTCCGGGAAAAGGCTCCAACTCCGCTGAGAACGGGCCGTGGTTTAAATTGTAGGAAGAGCTCTCGAGGGTGAGAATAGAACCGAGTGGGCCGAGTGGTCATCTTCACAGCGTGTTCTCTCCCTGCGGGAAGCCGCTGGCTCCCTCGCTCGCTCCCCTGCGCGGAGCGGGGCGTGTGCCAAAGCAGCTGCCTGGTCACAGCAGCCCGCAGGGGCTGGGGCACCCTGCGGCGGGGGGTTGTGGTTTTATGAAGGGAAGATGAGGGGGGGACCCCCACACTGCCCGTGGGCAGGTCCTGTGGCCTCCTCTTAACCTGTAAGACCCTCTGGTGACGTCCCACCATCAACGACAGACCGCGTGTTGCTTCTCGGGGAGGGAGGACCAGTGAGTCAGCAGCAGGACTTTTCCACACCCAGTGAGAGCTAGACGGGCAGTGCACACACACACACACACACACACACACACACAGTCTCTTCAAACAAACATTGGACCAAGGTAGAGCAGGACAGAACCTCAACTTAGGAGGCAGTGGGGAGATGCCTGTCCCTGTTTGTTATCTGAGGTCTAGATGGGCATTTCTGAGGGTACCATCCCTTACCTCAAACCATCAGCCTTTCTTTTTCTTTTTCTTGTTTTTTTTTTTTAACCATCAGCTTTTAGAACTTGAAATTCACTGAACCACAAATGCTCCATTCTGTGTGCAGAATTTCCATAGCCCCACCTGCATCTCCCAGGGCCTCGCACCCTCCTCCGCACCCCTCCTCACTCCTGTTCTGATGCCCAGAGGATGCTGGCTCCTGCTCAGTGGAGCCCATTTGCTGCTTCTCCTATTCCAGCTACTGATTCTTTCTCCTTTAAAATATATATATAAAATATATATAAAAATAAAACCTTAGGTTTGACTATCCTGTGTTCTATAGTATTTTCTATTATTATTTTTATGGGTATTTTAGAGAATGGGGAGTATTTTGGCCTTCAGTCTGAAAATATTATCACCATGGTGCACTAAATCAAGGTGGGGGAGTCCAGATGCTGTACCGTGCAAAGTCTTGCTGAGTTTCTGGGTGGGAAGGGGGCGCACTGAAATAAATTTAGAAAACAGAACTGAGTCTATTCTACTGTGTCTGAATAAATCCTTTTAGTGATTGAGGAAAAACTCTGTCCAAAGTCCAAACCAATCTCAGAGTAGATCAATAAAGGCAACACAGGGCTCAGTGGGCCAGGGAGCTAATAGGATTAAAAATGCAAGAAACTCTATTTTTAGTACAAATGAAGACTAAAGCGTAGTTTTTAATCAAGCTGTCTCTTAATTAGCCCAATCACATCTCAACTTCAGCTAATGGCCCGGGCAGAGAGACGCTGCCTTCCCTAATCCCCACTGCCTGGTGCAAAGCTTGAGGGAAATCCAGCCAAAGGTGAAGGAGACAAAGATGACTTGATGCAGCCTGCGCACTCTCACCTGAGTTTAACTAGGCCACCATGTGATTTTCGTTAGGCCCTGAGCATGGGAGCAGAAAAGGGGGTAGTAGGGAAAAGGTCCTGGATTTGGAGTCGGAAAACCAGGGCTTAGAGTCCCAGCTCTGTGAACTTTGGCATATCACGTGAAGCCTTTGTGAGCCTCAGTCTTTCATCTGTAAAATGGGGATAATGATACCTTGCTCTGCCAGCTTCACAGGTTTGACATGAAGATGCAACACAGGACGCTGTGTAAACTGCAGCTCGACCTTTAATCATGAGGAATCTCATTTCATGTGGGAAGACCCCTCTGGGCACCCCTCCCGCCATTCCCAAGGATCTGCTTTATCTCCTGCATGTCTTGAGTATGCTGGCTCCTGTGCCCTGGTCACAGCGAGGAGCAAATTTGCTGATCTTTCCTGAAGAATGTTTGTCTTGCTTATCTTGGGACAGCAGCAGCTGCTGAGGACAGGAGAGGACAGAGTTGGGAGAGAGGGACTGGCTGGAGATGGTACACTGCGGAGGATGAGCCTAATCACGGGCTTGTAGCGTGCATTGCTTTGCATCTGGGGTTCTGCAGAAGTCCTGGAATGATAAGAAATTTGAAAAGAACTGAAGAAATTGGGGAAAAGAAATGGAGCCACAGAGAGAGCGGGTAAGAGGCAATAAGTGTTGCTAGGGAAAAGAAGAGTTTTAAGAAAAAAGCACAATCATAGTAGACTATTTGGCTCTGCAGTGTGCAGCATTTACACGGTCACAGTGTACCGGGCAATTATTGATGTGACTATGACAAGCCTGTATTGGGATGATGGGAGCAGGAAGATGGAGGGTTAGGGTTAGGGTTAGTGTATGAATATTGCTTGGACATATGGAACTACAGTGGAAAAACAGCTGAAAGGGTTAACAGTGATTGCATCCAGGGATCAGGACTGGGGTAGGGCAGAGACTGTGGTTTTCGTCCTATACCTTTTGTTCTATTATCTTCTTTTTCTCTTAATCATCACATGTATTACGTAGATCAAAATATATTTCTATAAGAGACGTTCGGCAGATCATAAGACTTTGATTTCTAGACAGGAACTTGAAAAGCTCATCCAGTACAGTCTCCCGCCTTCAGACAGGTGACCACCCCAACCCAGGTGGCCTTTCAGAATGTCCCGCTCAGCCCCTGAGGAAATCACCAAAGGGAAAACAACGTGGTTTGCACTGCTTGGTGAAAACTGTGCTTGAAAGTGCCAGAGGCCTTGGGGAAATGCTCATTGGCTATTGAAATATTGTCATGCGCCCTCTGCAGGACCTCCCACTGAGGTCAGAAGGGCAGTTGGAGTGGGGGCCAGGAGACCCTCAGTCCTGCTCTTGCTCCTGCTCTGCTGTGGGATCTGAGTGAGTCATGGCCCTTTCTGGCCTCAGTTCCCGCCTCTGGACAATCAGGGCTTTGAGTTTTCCCAGGGCCTCTCCAGTTCTACACTTCTGGAACTGTAAGTGACAGCAAATAGCTTTCCGTGAACTGGGCGCAGCAGGGAACAGAAGCGTATGGATAACAAAGGAGTGAATAAGTAAGATACTTCCAGACAGTGAAAATCCTCTGCAGAAAATAACCCGAGGGAATGGGACGGTCCTGACGGGACAGCCAGTGCTCGGGGCGTGGCTACTAGGGGATCAGGGATGCTTCTTGGAGGAGCGGATGCTTGAGCTGAGACCAGGGCAGTGTGAGAGAGCCAGCTGAGGGTGGAAGGGACAGTGAGTGACCTTCAGGGAGCTCTGCTCCAAGGAACTGAGACCAGGCCCAGCCAGCAGAGCACTGAAGCCCACAAGGACTTCAGGGGGAGGCAAGAGGGATCAGCATTCAGTGTGACATTTTGGGAAGGGAAAATAAACTTCTGTGAATGGCAAAGATACATTTGATGCCACCCTGGGATTGGTGGGCCAACCTTCATCCAACATCTAGCCCAGGGAGCTGTCTGCGCCTCAGTGTCTCCAGAGAGGGTCCACAGAGTCCTGGTGCAGGAGTAAGACATGGGAAGCACCTCTGGGAGGACCCCTGGGGATGGCAGAGGCCAGAATTATACTTCTGGGCGAGCTCAAGGGTGTTATTAACTCAAAACACATGACATCAAGGATTCTCCACTCACCAACCCAGGCCATGCATAACAACTGGTCCAATACTTTACATCCTTTGAAGACCCTCTGAAGGTCAAGGCTGGCGCAGCAATAACAGTGTCTAGTATGCTTTGCAGTATATTAAACTTGACTTGAAAGTTTAAAAGAAGTTAAACATACTTACCCTTTGACCCAGCACCCCTACTTCTAGGAATCTGCCCCTCAGAAATATCAACACAAGCATGCAAAGAAATAAGTGTAAAGATGTTCACTGCAGTGTAGTCTGGAGTAGCAAAAGGTCTGGAAGCTCCCTCAATGGCCATCAGTGGGGAACTAGTAGATGGTGGCATAGCCACCCAGTGGACCACCCTGCAGCCACGGCAAGAATGAGGTCGATTCATGTGCTGGAAAGGAATGATCTCTGAGGGATATTATCAGGTGAGAAAAGCTGGGTTGGAGGCTCAGCTCCACACTCCTGTCCCCCACGAGCCCTGGACTCCTCTCCCCTAACCAAAGGAAGTTTGAGCTCTAGGGGACAGACACACTCACTCCCTAGTCTAAGGAGAGGGTGTGGGGAAGGACAGAGTGCTGGGAGGTAGCCTGCCAAGGGCTGAGCTCTACCAATCCAGAAAGTGGACACTGGATGCCCCCTCCAATCAGGATCGAAGGAGTGAGTGAGGGGCGGAACTTGAGGCCGGAAGTGTTACCCAAGTGCTGCTCCCTCCACGGGGAAACCTGAACAGGGGGAATAAGTGTTCCCACCTAACAAATATTTCCAGAAGGATGTGCAGGAAACTGAGAAGGAAGGGAACTTGAAGAGTGGGTCAGGGATAGTGGTGAAGGGAGACTTCTTTTGATATAGAGATGCAAGGGTAAAGGGTCATTTTTAGTCCCTCTTAAAGTTTCATAGAGTCTCCTCTACTTATGAATAATTTCCTCCAAATTTCCTGCTGAGGTCACTGAGCAGATCCTTATGTCTGCAAGTTCCATTGTTGATTTACCCCGTTTTGTTTTTCACTGGGGATCTGAACTGCAGGCATCATCACAGGAGAGAACCAAGTAGGTGACATTAAATTCCTTATTCCCCAATTTAACTGGGTGCCTAATAGGGTAAACCCATATGTAGCCACCCTTGTGTGCCCCTAGACTTCTAAAAAATTTTTTTGTTGGGGGTGGTAATTAGGTTATTTATTTATTAATGGAGGTACTGGGGATTGAACCCATGACCTTGTGCATACTAGGCATGCACTCTACCACTGAGCTAGACCCTCTCCCCACCCCTAGACTTTTCTCTCACACTAGACTCAAGATCTTACTTGACCTCTTATAAAAACTTACTCTTTTCTCTGCGGGAGCTTATTTCTAATGTCTGGAATTCCAACTGAAATCACTCCCAGGTGTTAAAGCAGTGCCTTCCAGACAGTAGGCATTTGAGAACTACCTTCTGGATTTTTGCTTTGGGGTGAACACTGATGACCCCCTGTCCTTTTATTTACATAGTATTTTTCTTAAAGGCCTCACTTTAAAATTTTAATAAAGTCGTTTTAAGAGGAGATTTTCTATCACTACTATAAATGGTATTACTCCTTCTTAAAAGGAAGAACCTTAAAAATAAATATAATAAAATCTAAACTAGTGCTTTTTCTTTTTGTTTAAAAGAAAATTGCTAAGTGTTTGAGACAGGGTAGCTCCAAACTGGGCCTTTTTCCTTGATGAGCTCAGAAGGATTAGAATGAGACTGTCATACTGTGTGGATTGATGTTATTTGGGGTGGGCTGGGGTAGGTAATTAGGTTTATTTAGTTATTTTTAATGGAGGTACTGGGGATTGACCCCAGGACCTCATGCGTGCTCAGCACACACTCTACCACTGAGCTGTGCTTTCCCCCAACTCGATGTTATTTAATGCCGTATCAGTGCACCATCCAAAATCATGCCCTATCACATGTAAATTTCACACTTTGGAATAGAGTTACAGCCTTTCTTCCTTTTTCTAGAAAGTTTTAACTATCCGTCATTATGTATTTGTGTCGTCTGAGCTGGACACTATGCAAAGCTATTACGCCAGTGCCCTGGCGTTTTCGACACTGCTTGTGATTTTGGCATTCCAGCTGATGTCCAAATAATGTGGCATTCAGTGTGGGGATGCACCTTTTTTTAAGGGTCAGAAACATCTAGTTGGAGGCAGCTTATGATGGCTGCTGAGAATGACGCAGGCCTACACAAAGAGGAATTTGTCCTTTTTAAAAGAATTGGAAGAATCTCTGAGCTGGTTCACTGGGTTCCTCCAAGGGATGCTGCACAGAATTGCAGCTGGGACCATCCAGGCTGAGCTCTGCAGCCACACGGCTCCTGGCTCACTGTTCAGGAGTCCTGGGTCTCAAGGCCTGGCCCCTGTGTGAGCTCCTGAACCTTGGTCAGTCCCAGGAGAAAGTGATGAGTCCCAGAAGTGAGAGCGAGCCTGGCCAGAGAGGAGGGCTGGTGGAGCGAGGGTGGAGGGTTTTGTGCAGTGCAACTCTCTTGTGGGAGAGTTAGTATCAGAAAATGTCTCTTTTAAATGATTCTATTTTAGAAATACTAGTGGATGCTCAAACTTTTGGGGTAACATTTTGATCAGAGATTGGACCTTTACATCAACTCAAAATATCTCCCTACAATGCTACAACATGGATGAACATTGAAAACGTTGTGCTAAATGAAAGAAGCCAGACACAGAAGGACAAATCTTCTGTCCTTCCATTTCTCTGAAGTGTCCAGAATAGGGAAATCCACAGATGGAAAGCAGATTAAATCTGTAATTTGCCAGGGGCTAAGTGGGGGAGGAATGGTGAGTGACTGTTTAATGGGTACAAAGTTTCCTTTCAAGGTGAGGAAATGTTCTGGAGCTAGACAGTGGTGATGGATGTACCACTCTATGAATGTCCTAAATGTCATTCATGGTAAAATTTTAAATTATGTGCATTTTCCGAGTTTGAAAATGCCTCCCCCATAAATTACTTTTTAATTACAAAGGAAAAATGTGCAATGGAGAAATCTGGTGAACCTTAACCCTTTAATCAAAGTTCACATCACCAGGAATGGCCAACCTGACATCCTGTGCCTTCTGGTGGGACACACTGAGAAGGATACATCACATATGCAGTATTCCTGCCAAAAAAGCATACCCTGAATCCACTCATTAGGGAGCATTAAACAAATGGAGAGACAGTCTATAAACTAAATGGACAATATCTTACATAATATCAATGCCATGAAAGGCCAAGAAAGACCAAGGAGCCATTCTAGATTAATGGAGACTAAAGAGACATGACAACAAAATGCTATGCATTATCTTCGATCTGTCTTGGACCAGGAGGAAAAAAAAAAGCTAAGGCTATTACTGAGATTATTAGAGAAATTTGAATATGGACTGTAAGTAAGATACTAGTATTGTATAAAGTGAAATTTTTGTGATCATCAATATTGTAGTTATATAAAGGAATGTCCTTGTTTTTCAGCAATACACACCAAAATATTTAGACAGAAAGTATGGCGTAGGCAACTTACTCTCAAATGATTCAGAGGAAATATGTGTGTGTGTGTGTGTGTGTGTGTGTGTGTTTGGAGGGAGAGAAAGAGACTGTTAAAAATAAAATCAGTCCGCTTAAAACTGGCAACACAATGTCATTATAAATACTGAAAACAAGGTCTGGGTTGGACTCTGTTTTTAAAAGTGCAACTAAAAATTAATTTGTGTTCTACAAAATTTTAGTAATAGTAGCTTGTCACAGATTATTGAAATGAAAGAAGAGTGAATCATATGTTGATTTGGGGTTTGGTAGCATTCACTTGTCCAACTGGATTGGCTCATGTGACATTTTCATTTGACATTTGCCATGTCGTTCGACTAAGGTGATGGTCATTTTTGCAAAAATGTTCAAAGACTTCCTCGTCTTTTAATCCTTTCGATACTCAGATCATTCTTTTGAATGCTTTCTTTCTTTGCTTTCTTCTTCTTCTTCTTTTTTTTTTTTACATTATTCAAGTTTATCCACTTTCTCTTTTATTGCTAGCTAGTTCAGCCCAGACAGATCCTCACGTATTAATCCCTCTGGTGCCTTTTGAGCAGTTGTCCGGTGTCACCTTCATCAACTAGTTCTTTTGCAAAATTTCCAATTTCACTTTGTCATCGCTCTCTGTTGTTATATTACTCAGACTGTCCAACTTTAGTAAAAAATTCACCTTAGTAAATCTCAGGGGTTTAACATCCAAAGACTAATATGTTCCAGTCACAGTGTCTGTCCAAAGTGTGAGGCTTCAACATGTCATGGCTGCACCAACCCCGCTACTTCATCAGGGGGAGGGAGCACGGAGAAATCCCACCTGCTCTTCAGCCGGGAAATGCGCCAGCCCGGAAATGGGGAATACTAATGTTGCTTACAGCCCTTTGGTCAGAATTAGTCACAAGGCTCCAACCTAATTGCAAGGGAGGCTGGGAAATACTGTCCTTTCATGACCAAAGAGTGGAAAATCAAACTGCAGCAGTCTGCCACACATTGGTTGCATTTTGTGGTTGGACGTTATTCAGATGCGGTTAGATATTGAGGGATGTTTGAGTAGGGGTTAATTTTATAAATGGTCAGATCATTAGGAAGTATTTTCCTATCTGATCACTTTTGCCTTGTTACGCAGCAGGGACTGTAATGACGAATACTCAGACAGTGAGCCTCCTCTGGTGCTGTGAAATCCCGATGGCACTGCTTGGTGGGCAGAAGATCGGGAACAGAATCTTAACACACACAGAGCTATTCCTTCCTGCCCTGGTGCCCGTGGTGTTCAGCTTTGAAGACTTGCAATTCTTTTCTGAATCAGGGATTTTAATCGGTCCTCACCCCTTCTCCTCTACAAGGAGTATTTGGCATCTGGATGCAACAAAGAACAGCTCCTCGTGCCAGACTTTGTCTTATAAGTCTCTAGGCAAAGGAGAGATGGGAAGAGCTGTTTAAGATGTTCTGAAGCCCCATGAAAATTCACTTATTTTTCATTTTCCTATTGCTTTGTCGCTGACAAATTTGAATTTCTTTCTCCCTCTTTAGCACATCTCTTTCTCTGGGCTTTCAACGCTACTCCACGCCCCACCGTGAAAATGTTGGTGCTTCTGGCTTTCATCATCGTTTTCCACATCACCTCCGCGGCGTTGCTGTTCATTGCCACCATCGACAATGTAAGTTCCCTTTCCTTTTGATCATCCCAGAGCCCCTGGATCCTAGAGTCAATAGAAGCAAGACTGAGAACTTCTCCAAGGTGATTGCAATTTGGGGTCATCCTCCCTTCCAGGGCACACCCATTGCCGGGCCTGAGGACTCTTGGGCTCAGTGTGGGGTTTGAAGCACCCCATGTGTTGGTCTGGATGGGCAGGAACTTTGGGCCTCTCACCCCTGATTCCCCCACAGAGCCTGGCATGATGCCTTGCCTGTAGGATGTCCTTTGAGGATGTGGCTTAAATTCAGCCCTCTTGAGGAAGTTTTCTTAACCTCGGCACTATTGTCATTTTGGGTGGTGAGTCATACAGTGTTCATTATGAGTTAGGAGTTGTGCTTGGTGCTGTCACTGGGCACATAGTGGGAGCTCAGTGAACGTTTGCAGACTGGATGGGGGGTGGAGATTCCAGTCTTTGGGTGAATGGGATGCAGAAGGAAGGCCCTGGGGCAAAAGAGCAACAGAAGCACAGAGAGGAATGAAAGCATTTGGACGGAAGGTAGGAGAGTCTTGTCTGATCTTTCATCCATAACAGGCTTCCCTGCCCCCAGATCTCATCCTTACCTCCCTCCCCTCTGACACCACCCCTGTAGTTCTTGTGTGGCTTACCCTCTTCTGCACTTAGAACCACCAGCTGAGCCGCACCTCCTCACCCATGCCTGGCCCCTGAGGCCAGGGACCTTCCCTTCCCTTTCAGCAGACCAGCAGTGGGGGCGTCACCTGGGAGCCTGTTAGAAATGCAGGCTCTCAGCCCACCCCTCCGAGACCTCTCGAATCAGAATCTGCATTTTTCCTGGACCCCCAGATGATTTGCGTGCATGCGACAGGTTGAGAAGCACGGATCCTGAATTCTCACTGTCTTGTGCCAGATTAGGAATCCCGTGTTTTTATAATTAACAGACGCCTTTCCGTGTGTTTCCATTTCATGTCACAGGCCTGGTGGGTAGGAGAGGAGTTTTTTGTGGATATCTGGAGAGTCTGTGTCAACAACACAAACTGTACAGAAATCGATGACTCCTTTCAAGGTGAGTGTGAAACTGATTGGAAAGCCCTGAGCGAAAAAAGACCCCTTGGGAGAAAGGCTTCCCTGCGGTCTGACTCCTCGCCCCCCTTCCCTCTCCAGCCTGCGCAGAGGGGCCTGGCTGCTGCCCAGGGCGCGCGGAGCAGGGCTGAGGGTCAGCACAAGCTGGGGCCGGGAGGGGCAGAGAGGCCAGAGGCCAGCGGGCACCAACCCTGGCGACGCCCCAGCCTTCTCTTCTCTCTTGGCCAAGCGCTCTCCTTCCTCACCCTTTCTCAGCTTCAGCCCTCATCTAGAATCTTCCCCCTCCTCTTTTGTCCACGCCCTGCCTCTGAGTTGGCTCAGAGACACCTGTGTCTCTTCTCAGCATCTCGGCAGAAGCCCGAGAGCTGGCTCCTTTGTGGGCTGTGTGACCCTAGCTGGGTGAGGTCGCGTGAGCGCTCAGACGCCCAGCATCTTCTGCTGTAAACGCAGGTGAAAGCACCGCCCCTGCCACGGCTGCCTCGGGCACGAGCCGAAGCAGACGGAAGGGCTTCGCAAATACAGAAAATCCCACCTGAAAATGTTCTTAACCCCTCCCCTTCACTGTGGAGCCCACGGTTCGATTTTCTGTTGTAGAACAGATGGAAGAGGCACTTTGGCCTCCAGCACCTTGCTCACTGGCTCCTAAAGTCTCACCAGCCCATCAATGGCAATATCAACGTTCATGATAAAACCAAAAATACCAGTAGAGGGCATTGTTTGCTGAGGGCTTACCGTGAGGCACTGGGCTGAATCCTTTACGTAAGTGATCTCATAGCCCGATCCGCCAGGGTCCATTGGCCCTGTTTTAAGATAGGGAAACTGAGGCATGGAGCTGAAACCCACGGTCACAGAGTCAGGAGTAAGCGATGGAGGCAAGATTCCAGCCTAGATGTGACCAGCTCGGAAGCCTGTGTTCTAAACCACCTTATGCCATCCGTGCCGCCACCCGGCTCCGTCTGTCTATCTGCTCTGCTAACCCTTGACCCTGGTCACAGCCATCCTTCCCTGTTGGAGCCCTAACGTTGCCAGGGTGCATGGTCAGCTGAGGGCACTGGCCGTGCTCTGTGGCAATGTTTCCAGGTTTCTGTTGTTTGGGTACCACATCCACTGTGCGCAATTATTACCTCTTATTTTCCACTCATAGAACAGGGGTCGGCAAACTACCAGCCAGATTCAGTCCAATGAGCTATGAATGGCTTTTGCATTTTTAAAGTGTTATAAAACAAACAACCAACCAAAAGAACAAAACAAGACAATGCCATGCACCCTAATGTTCACAGCAGCACTATTTACAGTAGCCAAGACATGGAAGCAACCTAAATGTTCATCGACAGATGGCTGGATAAAGAAGATGTGGTGTGTACGTATACAGTGGAATACTTCTCAGCTGTCTCTTCACCCTCATGACCTAATAACCTCCCAAAGACCCCACCTCCTGATACCACCCCACTGGGGGCTAGGATTTCCACATGTGAGTTTTGAGGAGACACAGACATTCAGTCCACAGCAGCAGCCATGTTTCCCATATTTGCCCTGTCACCTGGGGTGCTTGCTAAAAATACAAACTCCTAGTGCCTGCCCCGGAATGACTGTATCGCAATCTCAAGGGAGGAGGCCTCAGAATGCGTCTTGTTAACAAGCCCCCAGGTGATTCCTGGGGTGGCACCGAGTTGGGAAGCACTTCTCTGTTCTAAGCCAGCACTTCTCTGTTCACGACCTCGGCCCCCACCTTGGACTTCCCTGGAGGACTTGACCTGCCCCACCCGCCTCTTGTCTGATCCCAGAGCCAGAGATTCTGATTTCTTTCACCTCAGGGTAGCCTGCAGGATTTTTATTTTTAATGGAGCTGTAATTTACAAACAAGAAAATACCCACTTCTACAGGACTGAATTCAGAGATTTGACAATTATGTATATACCTGCATAACCACCATCCAAAGCAAGATAGAGAACATCCCCATCACCCCAGGAAGTTCCCTGGGGCCCTTTTATACTTAGTTCCCACCACCCCCTGCCCTGAGCGCAGCCGCTTCCAACTTCTGCCTCTGTGGTTTCCTCTTTCCTGCGCTTGAGCTTCGTGGCGATGGAGTCATGGTGTGTATTTGTAGGTATGCTGGTCTGGCTTCTGTCCTCACCATAGGGAATGGGGAGAGGACAAGATGCTCTCCAGGAGATCCTGATGTGCTGCCAGATGGACCAGGATCCATTGCTCTAAACATTGCATTAAAGTGCTTACAAATCATGCTTATCCCCATTTTACAGGTGAGGAAACTGAGACCCATACTAGTGGCTCCAGTCGACGCACTTGACCCCTTCTCTACACATAGCCTCACCTGTGTCCTTCCCACATGCCATGCCCTCCACCCAGGACCAACTTCTTTCTCCACTGAAACGTCCCTGTGCCGAGCCTCAGACTTTCATGTCCTCCTCGCTAAGGCTAATCTAGGGGGAAAAAAAAAGACCTCCCTTTCTCTTTTCCTAAATTGCAATCACAAGGCTCACTGCCTTAGACTGAGAGGCCTTTTTGTGTCCACGGAGCACTTTCAGAAGGTCACCCAGCCCCGTGAGCCCCATATCTTCAAGAATCCTTCTGGAGGTCTTTAGAAGGTACAGAGCCCCAGTCCTGACCCAGTCGTCCCATCCCTGCTTCTTGAACCAGGTTGGAACCTGAGGGTTTGTACTTCAAACCTCCCCTACCCCACTGTGCTCCTGACCGTAAGCCAGGCATCTGGGGCAATACCCAGACCAGGAGTCTGCAGAGTGGTGGTTCTTGCTCCCTAGTCCAGATGAGGATGTTCAGGATCATCCGGTCCAGCGCACAAGTGGACACTGGAGGGAGGGGTGTCGGGAAGTCTCCTGACTGCCCCTGTGCTCACACTGTGCAGATGGGAGCCTGGTGCCTTTTCGCCTCCTGTCATCCCCACTCTGGAGCTGTCACTGTGCCCTCCGGAAGCCCGGGTGGTCTGTGGTCCTCAGTCACCCACTCTTGCCCCTCCTTTCCCACAGAATTCTCCACGATACAGGCGGTCCAGGCCACCATGATCCTGTCCACCATCCTCAGCTGCATCGCCTTTCTGATCTTCGTGCTCCAGCTCTTCCGCCTCAAGCAGGGAGAGAGATTTGTTTTAACCTCCATCATCCAGCTCATGGCATGTAAGTAAAACGACGGGCTTCCCAGAACAAACACTTCCTTCCCAGCTGCCCACCAGGAGGAGCCTGGCAGGTGAGGACTTCAAGAGGAGAGGTTGGCTGCTGCACTGTGGTGGGATGTTTAATTCTTCAGTATTTGGATTTAGTTAGAGGGTTGGGGAAGGCGTCCTGAAGACATGAAGCGTGAGCTGGGATCTATGGGGTGAGTAGGAATTGCTATCTAGAACGTGCTCTCTTGATACAGAGGGAAGAGGCATAAGTCCCCCGAGGAAAATCTGGGTACTTAACCTCATCCTATCACAAATGTCTCTGAATATTGGTGATTCAGTCAGGGTGTTTTGGCTACAAGAAAGAGAAAAATCCAATTAACAATGACTTCAGCTGCAAAGACCTTTACTTTTTTAATACAACAAATAGCTTGAAGGTGGAAGGTGCCTTCAAGAGTTGGTTTGGCAGCTCAGCAGCATCATCAGGAACCCCCCACTCTTTTCATCTTTTCATTTTATCATCTTCAGAGTGTCAGTGATGACCTCCTCACAGCCCCAAAAAGGCTGCTGCAGCTCCAGACATTCATCCTGACCTAACAGTTTCTAAAGCAGTAAGCAAGGGAAAGTATAGCAATAAATAAATAAATAAATAAACAAATAAACAAATAAATAAATAAATAAATAAATAAAATTTAAAAATTAAAAAAAAAGTGCTTTCTCCTCCCTCATCTCCCTCTTTTCAGGGAGTAATATTTTTCACTGAAGAATTTTCAGTGCTCAGAACTGAGACACATAGAACCATAAATCATAACAGGTAAACAGGAACAGGATTGCCAACGTGGGATTGGCAAACGATGCCAAATCTGGCCCACTGCCTGTTTTTGTAAATAAAACGTTATTGAAACACAGCTCGGCCCGTCATTTAGGTACCGTCCGTGGCTGCTTTCACGCTCCGACGACAGAGTTGAGTGGTTGTGACAGGGACCATATGTGGCCTGCAAAGCAAACTACTTCCTGTCTAGCTAACCTGTGACCTGGATCCACTGTGACTTACCCTCTGGGCTGGGGAGATGGCTTCACAGACAACTGTGCATTCAGCTAGCAGAATGGCAAACAGAATGACTACAGGGTAGGCAGCAATATTCTGCCCCTAAATACTAGTTGTAACCTCTTCAAGAGACTACAGATCCATACCTTCTAATAATAAGGGCTGAAGCTCGTCCTCAGCTGCAGCCCTAGTCCCCTCAGGTCCCCGGCGCCCACTGGTCTGTGATTTATTTGGACCCTGGCTTTCTTCCAACAGGCCTGTGTGTCATGATTGCAGCTTCCATTTATACAGACCGGCGCGAAGACATTCACAAGAACAACTGGAGACTGTATTCCCAGACCGCGGACGGCACATACGGCTACTCCTACATCCTGGCCTGGGTGGCCTTTGCTTTTACCTTCATCAGCGGCCTCATGTACCTGATACTCAGGAAGCGTAAATAGAGCCCCCAGAGCGGGGTCGCTTTCGCTGCAGTACAGAGTCCACGTGCAGATAACCGTTTTGTATATAATCAATTTTTGTGTGTGTGTGGTTTTTCTAGCAAACATATTGTTTCCTTTAAAAGCCAAAAGAAGACGAGAGTTTTTGCATTCTTGAGATCAGAGACTAGACTTGGCAGGCTGGAAGTCAGAACTCCTGCCCATCCGGAAGCCTTAACGCGACAAAGCCAAAAATCCAGCAATGCTCAAGTGCAAAAATGTTCAGCAGGATGTGTCTTAACTGCGGGGATGTGATGTGATGTGACATGAGGTGGAGAAAACCGGGTCTCGGGGTACAGCTTTCCCTAGCTTTGGGCCATATGGAACCCCCCCCCCCACCTCAGCTTCCCTTCCCAAATCTCTCTGCATTCGCGGTGGAAGGTGGGGTGAGGGGGTCTGGGTGAGGGAGGAAACCTTGGATGTTTAACCGTGTTCCATGTGAGAAGCAGGTATGGCCCCTGGTGTTCTGTCTACATCCAGACCAGAGCCCTGACCCTCCTGTAATGGGCTGGATCCAGAAAGTGCCACCCAAGTTTGCTCATGTCACCTGCTTGCCTTCGAGAAGGTGACCTTTAACCTGGGGGCTAGATTTAGGCTCAGCCTGATCTCAACATGTGATCCCTAGGGCACCTTGTAAAATGCAGGCTACTGGGACCCTTCCCTAGACCTGCAGAATCAGAGAATTCAGGGATGGGGCCTGGGAGCCTGCATTTCTAACAGGCTCCTCGATGATGCCCCAGGTGCCTTGAAATTGAAGACCACGGCCCCAGGGCCAGGTGAGCAGAGCTGCCCTATCGATGTTAAAGATCTGGTGTAGAGATGGGGGGGCAGGCATACCCCCACTGCAGGCCCAAACTTCGGCCTCCACCAGCTCTTCTGCAGCTGCTCACATCTGGACCACCCGAACTCCAGCCCCAGGCCTTGCATCCCAAGAGCCAGACACCCGGGCCGGGGTGGGGGGTGGTTGCAGCCTCCTTCCTACGCTAACTCAGGAGGCTACTCCCTTCTCTTCCTGCCCTGCCTTCTAAGGCTGCCGGGCCTCTACTGACCCCAGTTTCTGGAGCCTCAGAGGGCCATCTGCCATGTGTTCATTCATCCATCAACATAAAGTAGGGAATGCTTGTGCAAGGCACAGGGGAAACCATGTCGAGACACTGTCTCTCCTCGTGGGGCTCATAGTCTCACGGAGGAGACAGATTAAAAACCAATTAGGAAAATGAATTACAAACAGCGATAAAGGCTGCAGAGAACACAACCAGGGATTCAGAAGAGAGGCCCGCGGGGGCGGGAGGGAGCCTGCTCTATGCCTGCCTGTTTTTAAAAGCTCCTGGAGGCATTTAGATCAGCCTGAACGTCACCCCTCTCAGCTTTGATGGGGCAACGCCATCCGTGTTACACCCAGAGAACACTTCCCTCTGCAGAGGGGCCCAGGGTCCTGACAGCGAACGAAGCCCTGGGAGGGTCCCAGATTGCCGTGGTTCTCAACCTTCAGTGAGCACAAGTGCCACTCGGGGGGTGCCACCTGCCAGGGTCTGAGTGAGCCAGTGCTGCCGGCAATTCCGAGACCGTACAGAGAAGCAGGGCTCTAGGGAGTTGTCCTCAGCCCTGCGAGGTGAGCAGCAGTGCAGGGACCCCGGGAGGTGCCTACGGAAGAAGTTCTTTGCACCTCACTTTTTCCTCCTGTGTCGTGAGCCTGAGGCTGGGAGGTGTGGCTGGGACCTATGTGCACACGTCAGCACTGGTGCCATGTAAGTGACAATTAGCTGAGTAGAGTGATGATTTGCCATGAGTCCAGGTCCAGTGGAACTGGGGAAATACCTAGTTTGAGTTGTTCTAGGGCCACTGTAGACACGGCTTTAGTGCAGGATTGAGTTTTCCCTTCATCTACCCATACACTCATTCATTCATTTTCAGCAGCATAGTAAATGCTTACTGTGTTGCAAGGCTCTGAAAACACGGGGTGAGCAAATCCAGACATCCTGCCTGAGACAGGAGCCCCTCCCCACAGAGAGGCCACCAGCACAGGGTCATGGGGCCAGAGGCAGGACAGGTGGCCACCTCCTGCCTGGATGGAAAACTGTCATTAGGCATGTTTTGAGTAGAAGCATGGGTCACACCCCTGAGGTGGGCAGGATGCTACATAAGCCTAGTGGAGGTAGGTGGGTCTAAGTGCCTCAGCTTTCTACTCAGGTGGCTTTTCTATAGTTCCCTGGTAGCCACGATAGAAGCAAACAAAAACCCTTAGAACCAGTAATCTGGAAAGCCTTATTCCCAAGCAATGCTTGAATTTCCATCCTCCAAAAACTTCAGGAGTGAGTGTTTGAAATGACCCCATGGACTCTCCTGGCTGGTCTCCGCTGCTGTTTAGCATTCAGTGCACACATCCATCTGTGATGCCAAGGTTTTGTGAAACAGGAGAGCTGCCTTCCCCTGCTCCCCGTGGTGTAACGTGCCCTGGGGAGGTGGGGAAGAGGTGATGGCACAAGGAAGAAAATACCCTACTTCCTCACCCATCGGTGGATTCAGCCCTCACTTGGTGCTTATGATCAGTTATTCAAGAACAATAACAACAGCGAAGAAAATGAGCTGAGACATCCAAGACGCAAATATTAGGACCAAATATGTTACTGGTAACAACGGCATTTGAGGGAACTGTAGTTTGCGTATGTTAGGACATTTTTACAAAGTACTGTAATTCTTTCGTTGAGGGGCTAATGGATGGAGACAGGCTAACTCCTTTTGTTATTTGCATTAAAATTACTCTGGGTCTCTGTTCAAATGAGTTTGGAGAACTCCTTGATTTGTTGCTCTGCGTGAATGTGTATACTCATACCTGAATGCAGGAATACTGGAGACATCCCCCGCCCCACCCGCCCTGCACTCTCTGCCTTGGGTTATGTGCGTGTGCGCATCCCTGATCAACAGGCTGAGGCCCTAGGATGCTCTGCGTTAACTGATGATGAAGAAATCCAGACTGCCCCCATGCCCCGCCCCGTCCTGCCAAGCCCCTTTGTAAGCACACTAAATATGGCAGCTTAAGTAGAAGCTGTAGCATCATTTAAAACCCGCCTGGATGGGAATTACTAAACTTGCTAATAGTTGAGAAAGTTTACTTACAATGCAGCAGGTTGGATAGTTTTGTATATTGGCGGGGCAGAGGTGATGGGGAGATGCTAGGAAAAGGCTTAGAGGTTAAGTTTGAATCTTGGTTTGGGGACAAATGTGACTTTAGGGTAATTAGAGACTTTCTACTTCATGTGCCTTTAAAGTAGTCCATTTTTCTATGTTTTGTATAATCTGAAACTGTACATGAAAAATAAAGTTTAAAACCAAATTGCCCGGAGCAACAGACTCTAATGTTCCCACCTGTGCCAATGTCCATGGTGAGACGCTGCCGTGCGGAGTGGCAGGGGGTCATTTGATTTCTCCTCGAGACGACAGTGTGTGGATTTTACAGTGAGCCATGGACCATTGGTCATAGGATGAGTCCCTCTCCCTCTGCTGCTTTAATGGGTCAGCTTCCTGGACGAATAACCTGCCGTGACACACAACCCCATGCCTCGAAGCGCCCCCCTGCTCGGTTAACGGTCTGCTACCACCATCTTAAAAATTGTAATGATATTTGGACAAACAGTCCCACATTTTCATTTTGCGATGGTCTTTGCAAGTTATGTAGCTTAGTCTTGTTCTTCAGTTTGTCTTCAATAAAGGCTTCTGCTTTAAAGGGCTGGGTGATGATGAAAATAAGACTATCATGGTAGCACACACACCTTAAAAAAAAAAGAAACATTAAATCAGAGAGAGTGCACAGGCTTTACATTTTACCTAAGGGATGTCAAAAGTCGCAGCAGCTCTCGGGAGCCCACACATCCTGGTCTCCACACAGAGGTTGCAAACAAAACCTGCAGGGGCTGCTGTCCCGATTCCTTGTGTTTCTAGGTTTTTGGTTTTTGTCCACGTGGCAGGTGGCTGGTTGTCACCCCAGAGCACTGCATTGTGTATCTCTTCCAATCAAGATATTAGCCTAATATTTGTGGCCTAATGTGTGGTTTATCCCGGAGAATGTTCCATGTGCACTTGAGAAGAACGTATATTCTGCTGCTGCGGGGTGCAACATTCTGTGTATGTCTGTCAGGTCCATTTGGTCTAAAGTGTAGTTCAAATCCAGCGTTTCCTTACTGATTTCCTTTATTTTTAAAATTCTTTATTATTATTGTTTTAATGGAAGTCCTGGGGATTGAACCCAGGACCTCATGCATGCTAAGCACACGCTCCATCCCTGAGCTATACCCTCACCCCCCCACCCCCCTGCCTTACTGATTTTCTGTCTAGATGATCTATCCATTGTTGGGAGTAGGGGATGCAAGTCTCCTACTATTACTGTATCGCTGTCTATTCCCCCCTTCACATCTATTAATATTGGCTTTATTTAGGTGCTCTGACGTTAGATGCATGAATATTTATAATGATAAAGGGGTCAGTTCATCACAAGGATTTTGTAAGTATTTATTCACCAAATATTTCTGTACACATTATAGCATAAGCATTGCACTGGGTGTCAGGTGCATCATGATAAACTTAGTCCCTGCGCTGGTCTAGACTATTTTAAGCCAAATTTTCAAAAAACAAAAAAGTGAAAAGAATAATACTTGGTGACACGTGACAATTATATGAAATTCAGATTTCAGTGTCCATAAATCAGGCTTTATTGGAGCCCAGCCATGCCTGTTTGTTTAGATACTGTGTGTGGCCGTCTTCCCGCTGTAACGTCAGTGTCACCACCCAATTCGCAGGGTCTGCAAAGCCCTCACCTCTTTCTGGCTCATAGAAGTGTTGCCATTCCCTGGTCTAATCAAGTCAGAAGGGAACTGTCTTTTTCTAGGCTTTTTTTAGGAACAAGGAGAGATTTCCCAGAAGCCTTACAGCAAGTTCTTCCTCACGTCACTGGCCTGGGGATTCCTGTTTTCACGCGCAACCCAGTCACTGGCAGATCAACCACATGCTTAGCGTTGGCCTCCCAGCCAGGGGTCAGATTCCTTCGGTGAGGGATAGACTTATGAACCACACACTCTTAGGAGAGAAAAGAGGGGCTTGATTGAGTGAGGGAGGCAACCAAAGTGTCTGCAGAAGTCCACCTCTTCGCTGCCTGACATCCATGCACAACTCCTTCAGAAGTTTAAAAATTCTTATACATTCATAAGATGAGCTAACCCCTTCCCAGGAGGTACACACCCCGAAGTCACAACCACGCCAGACTCGCTTGGTGATGAGCCAGCATCTTCTCTACCAGGGCCGGGGGCCGTGGCCCGCCATGGCCCATCAACCTAAGGTAAGTCCTGGACTCCCAGTGCACCCAGTATGGAAGAGAGGGAGGGGAACAGGATGCCTCCAGTATGCGTCCCCTTTGGAACAACAGATGAGCAGAATGAGAGACAATGCCCAGTGGTCACAGCTTCACTGCTGGTTGCAAATACCAAGAACACCCGTCCCGCGATGAGATCAGTGGTGGTCAGTGCAGGGCCCTTGGTTCCACTCAATGGAATGATCTCTGGGCCACAGGCCTCCAAGGCCGTATCTAAGACGGGCAGTGGGCAGAAGGCCCCTCCCTCCTTCCTGTGGGCACGAAGCCTAGTGTCTCAGAAGTACCTCAGGGTTGGATGGTTGCAGGAGGTTCTGGGTTCCTTTGACCAAGTCAGCCAGAGATCTTATCTGGATTTTTTTCTTTTTTAAACAACAAACATTTATTACCACACAAGTTTTGACAGTCAGGAAGGAATCCAGTAGTCATGTAGCTGGGTCGTTTTGCTCTACATTCTTATACGAGGTGGACACCATCTTTGAGCCTGCGAAGTCCTGTCTCCTGTCCTGTGCCTCTGTGCCTTCCAGCCCTCAGTCCAAGCTGCGTCCCCAGGCTTGTCCCTTTGTCTGGTGAAGAATGCTAGGGGATCTGGCGTAACCTTTCCTGTGATTCCATACTTCTTCCCTTCTGCTCAGTTTTTGCCTCCACACCACTGATCCTTTCCAAAACAGGGCTTAGCAAACCACTGGTGTGCTGGCCAACGCCTGGCCTTTTTTATGGCCTTCAAGCCAGGAGTGCTTTTTCATTCTAAAAGAGTTATAAAAAAAATGCAAAGAAGAATATTCCACAAAGACCTTATGAGGCCTGTGACATCGAAAATATTTACTGGCCTTTTACACCTAAAGTCTACCAGCCCCTGGTTCAGAATTTGACTCTTATTCCTGTACTTCTCCAAATCACTGGATTCTCCACCAATTTAGATTGCAGGCCTCAGGCAGAAGGAGTCTCAGGAAAGCCACATTTTCTTCCATTTTTGTGGTTAAATGGATAATCTTTGCCTTTTTTTTTTTTGGACTTTTTCTTGCAGAAACCTACTGAAGACTTGAAGAAGCTGGACATGGTGACATCCTGAGGTGTTTCTACAAGTTTTTCTGCTATGACATCCACGGGTACGTGGTTGGTGTGAAATGGCTGACAGTTTGAACCGGAGCTAAAGCGTGGCCCTCGGCCGGAATCCAGCCCACCACCTGATTTTGTAAACACAGCCACGCCCACTAATTTACATATCCTTCCAGGCTGCTTTCAAAGGCAGCGTTGAGTGGCTGCGGAAGGAGACCCTATGGACCACTGAGCAGTTTACCAGCTGGCCCTTTACAGAAAATTTTGCCAAATGTTTTGCCATAGCCCTGCCGGGGCCTCCGCTTCCCAGCCCGGAACAGCAGGTCCCCGCTGCCCTCTGCTCGGCCACCTGTGTCTGAAGCTTGTCCCACCCAAATTCCGTATTTGTCCAAGGTTGTTATTCGCAAGCAACAGTGACTCTGGCTGATTGAGATAGAAAAGGAATTTATTAAAAGGAAATGATGTAGCCCCCGCCCCCCCACCCCCACCACTGCCATGGATCCTTCCACAGGACACAGTTTGGTAAGGAAACCACGGTTGTCACCACAAGACGGTGCCACTTTTACCGAGAACTTGATCGTGGGTGTTGCCCCTACCTCTGCAGCCTCAGAGCCTGGCGTGGTGCAGCTGATTGGTGAAGACGGGAGGTTAGGGAACAATTAGCAGGCATCTTTCAGTGTCTATAGTGGGAGGTAAGTTCTGTAACCCACCGAGACGCAGAGGGAAGGCAGTGTGCCAAACAAAGGAAGGAAATTCAGATGCTGGGCAAACAGGCACATGCCTGCTCGGTTCCCACCAGGAGCCCACAGGTGAGCTCGTGCTTCCCAAACGTTACTGATCCATATCCCAACGACGTGCTCTTTGCTTGTGTGTGTGTTAGTCATGGAACATTTTTCCTTAAACCAACTATTTTTTTATATAAATACATTTACTCAAAAGCAAAAAAGTAAGTTTATAATTTATTTCAAACTTTGCATTTATACATGTTGAAGATCAGTATCAGCTGTTGTACGTGACCCAGTTAAAAACCAGATATGATTCAAACTAAGAATGTACTAAATGCATATTTCAAATGGTTGTTTGCAGGAGGTTTTAAGCCTGAGGACTGCTCTTTCCTAATTAAGAAAGGAGGTTAATAACAGATGTGTAGGTGTTAAAAAAAAAAAGGATTAGGGCCATACCTGCTTGACGTAATCACCTCTTACATGATGTGACCGAACTCAGTCGGGTACCACTGGGAGATTTTGCCTTGTAGTTTCCTGTTGCTGCTTTAAGAGATCACCACAAACTTAGTGGTGATTTTTAATCTCACATTTCTGCAAGTCCAGAGTCTCAAATCAGTTTCAATGACTGTCAGCAGGGTTCCTCCTAGAGGCATCTGGGAAGAATCCATTTCATCTCTTTGGGAGCTTGTGCCTTGTCCCATGTCTAGAGTCCACCTACATTCCTTGGTGTACGGCCCCTCCCTCCATCTTCAAAGCATCTTCTCTTTTCTCTGAACTTCCGCCTCCCTGTTGGAAGGACCCTGTGATTAGGCTGGGCTCACCCTGATAATTCAGGATAATCTTCCTATGGCAAGATTCTTAACTTAATCACCGCTTCAAAGTCCCTTTGCCATGTAAAGTAACATATTCAAAGCTCCTGGGGCTTAGAAGGTGGACATCTTTGGGGGGCCATGGTTCCACCTACCACAACCCCCTCCAATCTCATCTTTCTACGAGTCCATTTGTGGGGCATATAAGTAACATAAGAAAGCATGACGCCTCATGTCCTCACTGGTGTAAGGGATTTCACACGTGTTTTTGTTCCTCCCTTGTCAGATTTGCCTGAATCTCCTCTCTCTGAGCTGGGTTTCTGCTCTCAAGCTGGCCTAGGAGGATGTCCTGATCCAAAAGGAGATTAGAAATATGTATTTT